ACTTCAGATTAAGCCGCTTATTATAAGTCATGATAACTTTATCTCTGGACTCACAATCCGGGTACTGTCAAGCTGTTTTCTCTTTCTCGATACTTCAAGTGTTCGCACATGTTTTATTGCGAAGATACTGCTCGCAATTCATAAATACTCGAAGTGAGTAGAATCCATTTTTAAGCAGTTATAAAAATTCCTACAATTGCGGATGGCATCATCTAAATTTTACTTGAACTTGAATGATATGTTCTAACATCACTGAGCGTCTGGTAGTTTTCATTTGTTAGAAAGCTGCAAATATTTTCATGCCCCTTAGCCTTATGATTACCCTAATACTTCACTCTTGTTCGCTAGAGCCAATATATCTGGTTGGTACGAATATCCTGGCATATAGCCAAGAATCAAGTTGATCCGAGAGCAATTGCGTGAGAGTATTGTTTTCGCTGGGGAGAACGAGACACTCTCCTCTCTCCCCTTTCAGAAAGCGCGTATAGAAGAGGCGGAGCGCGTGGAAATATCATCAAGAATGCAATATCCCAGCACTTGGAAGCTTTATACTCACGCGATATGGTCCACACAAACAATGATTTTTTAACAAACAAAGACGCCGCAAAGCCTGAAAAGGACTTTTGCACAAAACACCTTGTTTGCTTCTGTGCCCGGATAGCCGTTCAAGACAAACTTGTGATAAAATTTATTTTATGACACAAAAAATTATTTGCATTTGATGTAACGTTCATGTTTACGTTTTACTTCACGCACGGCGCTTTCAAATTATGTTCACAAAATAGATCATCTTTATCGGCACTAAACTTTTGACGGCAAAACATAATGTAGCATCAGTGCTGCACGATAGACACACTGACAGCAACGATATCCTTTCATAATGAGAATGATTACCGTCTGTAATGGTAACATTGTAACCACCGCTTGTATGCATCATAAAAGCGTGGCTCTCAGTTTTATCTAACGACTAGCTGGCTTACCCGGCTCCGCCGTATCCGGACCAAACTTGGCACACATACACATCGGGCCCCGGCGGGTGTCACAGCCCACTTTTCGTTATCGATCGATGTCGATTTTACCGATTTTTATCGATTTTTTTTGCAGAGTTCACCTACAGGGCTAGGAGTTGGCACAGGGGGGGGGAAGTGAGCATGGGGATTCCGAATACAATATTAGTTTTCAGAATTATCGATTACTTTTATTGATTTTATCGATTTTTTGTAAATTTTGACATGCGAGGCTGGAATTTTGCACAGGGGGTAATCGAGCATGCTGATTACGAACACAATATTAGTTTTCAGGATCGTCCATTACTTTTATCGATTTTATCGATTTTTTTGTAAAGTTTGACCTGCGGGGCTGGGAGTTTGCACAGGGGGGGGGTAATCGAGCATGCAGATTACGAATACAATATTAGTTTTCAAGGTCGTCCATTACTTTTATCGATTTTATCGATTTTTTGAAAATTTGAGCTAGGGGGCTGGAATTTGGCACAGGGGTGTAATCGAGCATGCTGATCACCCCCCCCCCTTGGGGATGATCAGCATGCTCGATTACCCCCCTGTGCCAACTCCCAGCCCCCTAGCTCAAACTTTGCAAAAAAATCGATAAAATCGATAAAATCGATATTGATCGATGACGAAAAGTAGCCTATGACACCCGCCGGGGCCCGTTGCGTATGTGTGCCAAGTTTGGTCCGGATCGGTTCAGAAATGGAATTTTCTATTCGGAACATACGTACACACAGACATACATACATACATACATACATACGTACATACATACATACAGACAAACAGACATTCAGCTTTATATATAAGATAATATTCCCTTTTGATGTCTATAAAAATACATTCAAGAAATTCCAAGACGTAAACTATTTTATAGCAGCTATCTGCACTAACGTGTCCCATAATTGAACAATGCTCCGATTGCTTCAAAATTAGGCACATATAAGCAGGGCTCTGACAGAGCAAATTCGACGTATTATATACACCGAAGTTGTTTCTCAAAGTAGTTGAAATCACTGTCATACTATGCCTCTGCAAGATGTTTTCTACCCTTTTTCTTGCTTTGTGTTCGACGCAGCTGTGCCCCAACCTCAAATGAAATCGAACCCATGAAAATGTTGGGCACAGTAGCGTCTTTCCTGCTTTACATTCTCGTGGGAAGTTAAAGATTCTTCACTCTTTTAACGGCTTTCCTTTCGCATTTCACTCATTTCGTTCTCATTTTTCTAATCCACTTCCTCTTTTGATAAGAAGAACCTAAATTTCAAAGCGGGGTCAAAGAATGAGCACCGGAAAGTTGTGTCTCCGTGCCCTCGTCCATACTTCCTATATTTTTTGTTCAAACCTACTTCATGTGTTCAAGGAAGCAAGTGCGTGGTTCCGCATCTGTATTGAAAGTGACATCTATAATATATGGTCTGAACAAAACCAACGAAGGGAGAATGTAGCGTACGAAAACCATCTTTCCGGATACATAGAGCAAAATAACGTTCTTGCTTTAGCCCCGATTCGCAGCTTTTCTCGTTACGAGGAGAAGCGAAAGCGAGGTTGAAGAAAGAACAAATAAGGATTAAGGTAAAGGAAAGGAGCTGAGAAAGCTTAAAAATGAAATTTATGGGAATATTAGAAAAAAGCCCCATTTTCCGCGCTTTGAGAATTGTTGGCGTTCACTAACTCAAGACAGATGCCTGCGGAAACTACGTAGCGGCTTTCTGGAAAACACAAATTAGGTCTGTTACGCATGGACGCACGTAGCCACATCTTCCTTGGTACATGGAAGCAAAACGGCGCTTTCCAAATTCGCTTCAGAAGGGGAAACGGAGTAGAAGAATGGGACAAAGATGAGTGAAGTTGGGAGAACGTTAAAAACGGTCAAAAATCTTTAACTCCAGCCGCTCAAAACTGCATTCAGGGACTGCAGCGCAAGCACAGAGTTACGGCATAATTCCAGCACAGTTTGAGAGCTGTGCTGAAAATGTTGCGAAACTTCCACACAAGCTACCGAAATCCCACGTAGTGAAAACTCCACAAAATTATTTTCAAGATTTACTTCCGTTTTTGTCCCCTTCTTATCTCAATTCCTTTTATTTTAGAATTTATGCTAAAAAAATTTAAATATGGTGTTTGAAGGAAGGCAAAAGCTTATGACACAAGGGAGCAGTGGCGAACCGAGGGGAGAGGGGGCGGCGCCTCCTCTCTCGAAAATGGCTCGCGAAATTTTGAAAGTTACTTAAATGTGTTATAAACATGTGCAAGCTACTTGTTTTTACTTGTAAATGATTGAAATAATTTTTCGAAAATTTTTAAAAATTAAAATTAGCATTGTAAAAAGATTTTTTTCGGGGCATGGCTGCCGTTACGCCCCCTTTCCCTGAAGTTTTGTGGTCAGAGGCTCGCAGAAATTTTGGGAAGCATCCCAAAAAAGCGCCTTCACCCAAAAAAAATTTTTGTAGCCCCCTCCCCCGAACGGAAATCCTGGGTACACCACTGCAAGGGAGTTATTACAGGTTAAACGTTCGATACATTGGGACCATGTATACATTGAGTCCGCATTTGGTGCAATGTGATTGCCTTTGCTTTGTAAACAAGGCACTTCTCTGTTCAACATCAAACCCTGATTTTTTTTTCATTCATTTTGCTAAAGTATCAGGGTAGTAGAGTCTTTGGAAGACGGGTAAAAATCGATGAATACAGGAGGTTACAGCTGCTCTGCAGCGAACTGTAATTCAAAGAAAATTAACAAATCTATTGCGAGTAATAGCTAGTAGTTAGCTGCCATTCCGGCGTCGCACATTACGTGAACCATCGTCAAACAGCTTGCGCGTTGAATGCCTCTTTTACTAAGATAAAATATCCTTTGATTCACTGGGAGTGGCGGCTGGTGGGGGAGCCCTGGGCTTTGCATCTCTCTTGCGTGCTCGCTAATCATTCCTAAGCTTTTAGCGATCGAAGCTCCGCCTTCCATTCGCCACTCCCAATAAACTAAAGGATGTTCTAACAAAAATTTCTGCCTTTTGACCATACTAGCTGGGATACCCGGTTTCTCTCGGTTTCTATCAACTTGACATGCTAGAACCCACGTCCTCTTCCACTTCCACACAACTTCTCCCTAGTCCTGTCCCAATTCTATATGTCAGATTCCTGCTCTCTTTTTTTGAAATCAGCACGCTCACTTACCTCCCTGTGCTCACTCACCCAGCCTAGCGCTTTGCAAAAAAGACAAAACTAGTAAAGTTAATGCGGTTATTTACAAACGGTCATTATGTTCGCAATTGACATACTCGTTTACCACCAGCAACTCTCAGCCCTTTAGTTCGAAGACCGCGAAAAAGCAATAAAATCGTAATCGATCTATAACGAAAACTAGCCTACGACACCGCCCCGCCCCGAAATGTATGTGGGCAAAGTTTGTTCTCGATGGGTTCAGAAATGCAATTTATTATTCGGAGCATACTACTCTCAGACAAATATGCGGTTAGATATACATAGAGACAGACATCATACAAACAGACAAACAGAGCTATATTGAAGGGGTAGCGCGGAAGAGTATTACTAATTTTGCCACTTGCTATACAAATTAATTGTAAGTGGCATTCCATTGTTCTGACTCTAATCTCTAAAAGTTTTTACATTTTTGCCGCATGTATTTTAATAACTTTTCGGTGCAATTTCCCTGATTAAAGAGCTTTAGAAAGATGGTTTCAGAAATACAATAACTTTTTCGGAAGTGCCAGTTGTTTCATGTGTTTTGTAATGTCCTCACACATGACTTGTGCCAATGTTCTGGCACGAACTTCTTCTGTCTCCGTCTTTAACACTTATTCAGAAGGAAACTTAGACGCTGTTAAAACGCGCAGTTGTTCACTGTAAATCGTACAGTAAAATTCTGAGGCAGTTACAATCTAGGGTTCGCAGGTACTGCCACGAAGCTCTGAATCGTGTTCGCTCATTCGTACTTGAATTCGCTTCTATAACGCACAATAATGTATTAATCGAAACTGCTCTGTGTAGGAAATGAAAACGGAGAAGCTACTGTTCCTTTCCATCATACTGTTTTCTGTGGTGGCTGTCTGGCCTGCTCACGTGTGTGAAATCCCACTTATTGGCTTTAATCTCTGCATCACTTATTGCAAAAATTTGGTAATTTTTGCTCCTATTATTTTCAAATCTAAAATCTGTAGGTGTACCATCGATTAATCAATTACATACCTGTTTTTCAGGGCAGAAAGACGGGAGAGTGTGAATGGCGTCAAGACCACAATGAAGGAGGTCGTTGGCGTCATGTATGCGTATGCATTCTGTGATGCCCTGCATATAACACTGAGAAATATAAATAAACATTTTTCTGCAGTAATGTTTCTGTGCCCAAACTTGCATTAATTTGTTTTTAGCAAAGATTATTACGCCTGCAATAGTCTAATGAAAAAGCAAGGATTCGAAAATGAGAAAACTCTTGAGAAATGTTGTCATACCCCTGCTTCTGAGCCTGACATTCTAAACAATATCTTTAATAAGGGGAGGATATTCGGTCAAGTGGCATTTCCATATGAAACGTGTGCGTCTGTTTTAGAGCATGAAACGCTGATTCCGAACCTGCTTATCTATCTGCAAAGCGGTTCTGGGATGGAAGTCGTAGGAATTTCTTAAGGCTAAAATTTAGTGGTTTGGCAAAGGTGCAACAGCTGTTGTGGACTTTCCAGCGCTTGAAAGGGGTATGACTAGCATGAATTAAAACTACTAAATTGCATAAAGTACCCTGCCGGTAATCATAGACCCTTTATGCATACAGACTACCCTTCTGAAAGATTTTATTGCAGCCGCGTGTTCAAGTTTTTGCTTCAAAAAATCCTATAACTCTCTCAGAAGCGATTTGCAAAAAACAAAGCAGATTTGAAATCAGCGTTCCATGTCTGCAATACAGTCTACAACTTATATGGAAATGCCACTTCTACCAAGTATCGACCCCTTGTAAGACAAACGGTACTATCATGATAATGCAATGAACACAATGTCGTCAGTATGAGTATTTGGTAAACAGCAAATATCTACCCTATTCAGGTGTATAAGCCACACATTGCTTTTCGCACATTGCTCTCACTTAATGCGCCCCATTGTAACAAGCAGTCTTTTGGAGTGTTCGCTTTTAGAGCGAACAGGGTGTGGCTTATACACCTGAAAATAGGGTACTTGTTAGTTTTCTATGATGCTCGCTTAACAATTGCCAGGATCTCCAACCTCTGATGCACCCATCCTTATTTTAGCTATTTCTCGAAAATTTTCGCAAGTGAATGCATTTTTATTTTCAAAATTTTTGGCATGATTTTTTTGATGTTACCAGAATCCATATTTTATTTTTTCAAATGATAATGTTCAATCATAACCGATTGAAACTTTTAGGTTCTGAAGGCGTTTGGAGTTTGAGATTTGTATTTTACGACTTTTCAAAAAACGAAGACTTTTGCAAAAAAGTTCTAAAAACAATTGCAGGCCACTCAAAGTTTTCCAAAAAATTTATTGTCTTGCAATCTGTCAGCTTCAACAGTAACTAAAGCTCTTCTGATAATTGGAAATGTAAATTAAAAAAGATGACTAAGAAAAGAGTGGGTAAAAATCATGAGTTGCAGATTGACGATTATTTGAGCGATTGTCGAAAATCCCGCTACAATAACGTCACCGCTAGAAAAAGGAAGATTTACTGCCGAACCATGTTTAACGTTTCTCTTTCATTACTCTAAACAATTTGATAGGACGCAAAAACGGCAGGAACTTTCGGACCGACCTGATATATTGAATGCAAGAGAATATGCCGGGGATTTAGAGATTCAGAAATTGGCATGGCAAGCAGCATCAAGCATTAGGATATGACTCATGAGAATGCTTTTTCTTCATACCTTTACTCTTACTGACATATCAAACAACTGTGACCCTTCCTTTTTTTATAAGTAAAATGTTGGGCATAAAAACTATTTATTAATAAATGCCTGTAAAGATGGATATTTCCCAAAAAGAGGAGAACATTTTGTAAGCAGTAAAGTGGTTTAAGTCGGAGAATTGTTACCTTACTTAGATACTTAGATGGCCCGTCCTCACGTGACGTGCGGGTCACAGTACAGAAGTTGCCGTTTTTCCCTGTCCCTCGCTTCAAACATCCATGATCCCTGGCCGTCGTCGGTGGCTGCGTCCACGAGTTCCAGGTGCGAAAATCGTATCCAGCTAATTTCTCAGCTGGTCCATCCATTCCACGACACACGTGGCTTCGCGAGGAATCCACTCCGATGTTCTTAGTGTCCATCTGTCGTCTGTTCTTCTCATTATGTGACCGGCCCATCGGTGTTTGGTTTTCGCAACGTATTCCGCTGGGTCACGAAGACGGGACATTCTTCTCATATCCGTGCTGCGAAGTCCGACTAGATGTTGTTTGCGTCGGGTCATCTTCAGAAGACTGCGCTCGAGCGCTCTGTGGGTGGTCCGTAAAGCTTTCGACGTGGCTACAGTGTCGGCCCAAGTCTCAGCTGCGTAACAGAGCGCTGGGAGAACGGTTGGGCACGAAGCTCCGGGTCCGTCAGTTGGTCGGTGGCTTCCTTCAGAGGCCCGAAGGCGGCCTAGGCTGTTCTTCTTCTCCTGTTAAGCTCTTCCCTCAAGTCGTTCTCCATGTTCATCGAACGTTTGAGATACACGTAAGAAGACGTCTCCATAATAGGGGTGCCTTTCAATTCCATTTCTGCATCTTCGCAAAGGGCGTTCCTCATGACTGAGTCTTCTTCCGATTTATTCGCAGTCCGATCTTCTTCCCTACTTCGTTCAGTTCCTTCAGCATCGTCTCTGCTTCGGTGATACTGCTCGAGAAGAGAACGATGTCGTCCGCAAAACGAAGGTTGGACAGGAATCTCCCATCAACTCGTATGCCTCTCTCGTTCCAGTCCAGTGACTTCAACCCACTGCAAGGCCGCGGTGAACAGCTTCGGCGAAATAGTGTCGCCTTGTCGGACCCCTTTCCCGATCGGAATGGTCAGGGGGCGATGGAACAGCTGCATCGTCGTTGTACAGTCCTTGTAGCAGTCGGCTAACGTCCTCACGTAATCGGGGTACACTCCTTGATCGACTAGCGCAGACAGGATGGCGTTGGTTTCGACGCTACAAAGGTTTTCTCGTAGTCGACAAAGGTTAGGACGAGAGGCAGTCGGTACTCCCAGCAGACTTCTATGACCCTCAAAACCGTCTGGAAGTGATCTATGTAGCTAAATCTTCTGCGAAATCCAGCTTATTTTTGGGGTTGGGCTTCGTCCAGTGTCCTAGATATGCGAGCGAGGATAATTGTTGTGAAAAGCTTGTACAGCACTCAGCAGGCATATTGGACGATAGTTCCGAAGATCCTCCCGTTCACCCTTCTTGAAGAGAAGGACGGTTCTTGACGTTCTCCAGTAATCGGGAATCCTCTCCTTCTGAAGGTAAGATGTCAAATGCAACGCTAGAACCTCGTGTAGACGGTGTCCTCCGGCTCGCAGAAGTTCGACGGAAAGATGATCTGGTCCTGGAGCCGTAGACTCTTCATGGTCTGTATCGAGTCGTCGGCTGCTGCTGAGTCGTCGGCTGCTGATGTTGGCGAGTAGCAGTTGATGATGCTGATGGTCTTCTGACGTGAAGGGCGTAGTCGTAGGATGCCTAGTCGGGGTGATAGGATCTCGTGGAATCGACAAGATGGACGATAGATGGGTGGACGACAAAGCCAACGCCTCCCACGTTTCGTGATGGAACCTTCTCACCACGAATGATGAGGGCCTCATCACCCATCTGTCCATCACGTCCTTCTCCCTGGACTTCGTTTCCTGCAGAGCGATGATGTGGTAGTTGATGTGCTCTGCAGCGTCGAGAAGAGCGTGGAGGTCGGCGTTTGTGGAGACTGTCCTGGCGTTGTTGGTGCAGAGCATGAGGCAGTCTCCATGGCGTGTCGTCCGGGCAGTGTCGTTTTTGTCCAATCCGAAAGGCGCCCTGAGTACCCTGACACTTTCTTGCTACCACCCGGCGCCGTAGGCGGGACACGATGTTCAGGATTTCTTTCTAATCTTCTAACTGGAGGAGTTATATGAGTTTTCCCCTACAAGAGGTGGCTTACTAGGCCTACTCTTAATTTCCACGGTTCCGGCGATCGCTGATCCCGGGCTTGGAGCGGGGAGGGATCGCCTAGCGACCAGAAGAAGCCAGACGGCGGGGGATATGGCGTGGCCGGTTCTTAGCTAGGCATCCGGCCGAAACCGGAAACGTCGAACTTCTTCACAGCTTGGGAGGCCTTACGAGAGTATACACTCGGCTGTGCATCGCAGTTCGACACCCAGTGTCGGAGAATTGTTAAGACTTCAAAATCAGTTGGTAAGCCCACACTGACAATGACTATAAATGTAGAAATGGAAAATTCTGCGCTCGATTAAAAAAACTGACTTCTTTTGTTGCAGTCTTTTAACTGTTGTTACGAAATCACGAAGAATTGTCACAAAATTTTGAGTTTTTGAGTTTTTAGTGCGAATCACCTCAGCTTCTTCTTATTACCTTACTTTTACTCATTTCTGCAGTTCTATTTCAACGTATGGAAAAAGGAAAGCTATTTCGCTTAGGTATGTTTTGCTCATTTTGTCTTTATAGCAATAGTACACTGAGAGAATGGCAGTGTACTAGGCTGTTGCATAAGTTCTGTCCGATTTTTTTGCCTCATGTTTGAAGCAGCCGTTAGGGGAAGT